ATATATATATATTTCTAACGTTAAACAACTGTTTACGAAACAATCTTTCAGTGTCAGGAAGATCCAAAACAACTACTTTTATCGGAATTTTGAATTTCTTTTGCACGATATTTTTATCATATTACTTCCTACTACTAGGTATACGAAACGTCAAATGACTTTCACAACAACGGAAATCAGGCGAGAAATTCTATTACTTTAAATTCAAGAACGTTTTCTGCAATTTTGTCTGCGAAACGTTTCTCATGTACCTAATGATCATGTGTAAAGATTATTCTTGTTAGTGATATCTTCAGGGTTCGGAAAGTCAAAATATCTTAAGTTAGAAAGCTTGAATCTGTTTCCGCCTCTGTGAAGTGAATGTGTGATTACTTTGACTAGTGAGATCGCTGTTGTCAGATCCTTTATCTATTTTCAAAACACTCATGTGACATGCACATATGAATTTCACGAAATGCATGTGTTTGATTACAATAATGTAAAATATATTATGCTTATTGGCGTGAATGAAGTAAATCCTAGAAACAATTATAGACTCAGAGTATTGAAAAAAACCATAGAAGTGTAGTTTAGGAAGTACTTTTGTAAACTAACGTCATTTATTTTTGATATTCATAATATACATAAATCAATCATTATTTCGGTTTTTAAATATTGGCCACGTGAAAGGTATTTCACAGCTTTTAAGTCAGAAAGGTAAATAATAGATTTTGTCTTAACTGACATTCGTGCTACGCTTAGAATATGTAATGGGAAAATAATAATTTACAGTAAAATGAACTTAAACACAGAGATATAAGCGAAACTGCACAATATTCAATAATTAAAAGAATATGTTTTTCTAAACACGTTTGACTGTAATATCATTTCGTCTCCGTCCTGGAACAACAGCAGCAATGTTGTTCTGAATGAGTTCACTAAGTAATATCGCAGTCATGTCAGAATATGCTAGGCGTCACATGTATCATGGCAATGCGAGACACGGAAAATGATTATATTGGAACACATGGTCTACTGCCACGCGCTGTCAGTAACAGGGTCAGGAACCGTAGCAGAGGCTTTCGAAGACCCGTTTGCGAGATTGAAGCCTCTCCCTCTACGAGCGGTCCGACTCCTTTCGTTCGTGACGCGTTCTGATGAAGTGAAGGTAATGAGAGTCTACCTGTTGTGTTTCACCCATGCGATCATTGGGCTGCCCACATCTCTTCGGGCAGCACCACCCTTCCGGCCTGTCCATTCTCTACTCTTCACACACTGCTTTCTTGATTTCCCTGTCACTGTATCCACCTTTACATCAATACGTTACAAAATCTCTCGAAAATGAATAGAACGAAGACCTCATTTGGCGAAGAACAAGTGCTTTTTTGTGTGTGTTTTCGTAACAAGTTCAAGTTCAAAACAATATAAACAAAAGGAGCAAAACGGGTGCTTAAATTAAAAAGTAAGGGAAAAAATAATTCCAAGTCTTTAAAATAAACATTTATTCATAAGGATAAATGCATTTACTTTGTACATAATTGTCTGTTTGAAAAGAAATCATTCTTTCGTTACAAATATAACTTATTAAACACTAAATTATCTTCGAATGATTTTATTTTGATTTTCTGTACATTAGTATTAAAAAAAAAATTATACCCAGTTGAATTACAAAAGCCAAAGAAAGCATTTGATTAAAACATTTGCATTAAATATGAAATGCACTAGGCTGGAATTCGCGTCATTAATGGCATCACGAATTCTGCAATAATTTTTGTATAAATTTTATCGGACGAATCTGAAACTGGAAAATTATACTTTTATCGTTCAATTCACTCGGACACGACTTCTTCTTCTTATTTAATATGTGTGTTAACATAATGAACATTCATGCAAAGCTCATCAGTGTAAATATTGTAAATTCCCATCATTCTGTTAAATTAAGACTTTTATCATGTACTCCATACTAACAAACTTCTCTTCCTCTATTCATTTTGCAAATAGTTTTATTTTTATTTACCTGTTATTAAAAAGTTGAAGTAGAATCATTATTTTTTAAAATACCGATAAAATTTGTTAATATGTATTAACATGGTCAGGACATTGGCGGTCTTGAAGGAGGCAACCCGAGAGGAAATATTGCAAAACATCAAATTACATTGTTTGTTGATATATTTTTTAGTTTCTTTAGCTCAATAGAGTGTTTAATAATATGAAACTCGAAGTTGAATACATTTTTTTAAATTCATAACTGTCGTATTTTAACTTGACGTGCAAAATTGTCATTCAAAAAACGATAAATAGTTACGATAGTGATAAAATGGGGCCATTTGATTGGTTGAGAAGTGTAATTTAGTATCACATTGCTCTTGTGGTTTCCTCATTATGGTGACGTGTTTCTTGGTGCTGGGTGGTGCTGGTTTGCAAAGGAGAGGCAAATTACGTTTACTACATTACTATAATTAATGTTGGGAGTTCAATTTTAAGTCAAGGTTAACAGATAGCAATAAAAAATCACTGGACTGTTGGAGTGTTAATGTTGCAGCCGTATTCAACTTCGAGTTGCCCCAACGCAGCTATCGTTCGCACTGCGATTCGCGGCCTGCCGGCGCCGGCGCCTGCCCTGCTCCCTCGACTGTCTCTCTCGACCGCCAACGCCTCGCCATGTCGCTCGCCGCCCTCCCCTCCCCTCCCCTCCCCGCTCCTTCGCGACTCCCCGCTACTCGCCCAGTTCACTTCATTCACTTCATTCGTCGTTTCATCTTAGGTGTTGCGACTCTCGAAATAGATAGAAAAGATGAGACGTGGCGTATGAAAGCAAGACGTACATTCAATTGATCATTGAACAAAAGTAATCGTGTTAAGTATTAGAAACATTGTTTAGAGTGTTTCTCCATGCAGTTTTCTTCCAAAACCTTCTTTATTATTTGTAAATTCATTTCGTTTAAAGTAAATTATTTTCATTAAACTACATGTCTGTACAAATCTGTACGAATCTGTAACTGCGCTGAATCAATTCAGAACAGTTATTACTGGATAAGATGCATCAAGTCCTATGTTTCATTATCATCAACATAACAAACGAATTTATATGAATGCGTTATTTTACGCTACTGTCGACTTCTGCCACTTAACTATATTTCTCAATACTTCAAAAGTTGCACACGCTCAATTTCAATTATACGAAATTATTGTGAAATATTTTGCCAGGTATACACCAATCATTGAAGTTATGCTCTAACACACTTTTGACCATAACTGAACCTCTAGACAGACATTAGTAACTGTTTAGTTTCAAATCAGATCATATTCGTCATCTGGGAACAGCAAACAAATCATTCTACGGAAATGAAAATTGATTATTCGCGCTGAAAGAAAGTGTTTTCTTTTCAACTAGCCATTCAATTGCATTGAAAACAATTGTATATTAAATTTTTACGATTCAATCGTATAAACTTGAGTTTTAGATAAAAATATAATAAGATTTTCTAAAAATATATTATTTCAATGAATGGATAACTGATTAATATAATAACCTTTTACTGAAATCGTATATGCTCTGGCACTCCCGTATTTTTCTCAATTCCCAATTTCCTTTCCGCTCTCTAATTATCAATTACAACGTACTTTCGAAACCCTTGGCAAACCGAAGATCGTGAAGGGTTTGCAAGAGCGAAGAGAGAGAGAGAGACAGTCGGGAGAGTTGGGGTCGCCGGCGGCGCCGGGCCGGGGCTGCGCCGGCACTCACGGCCCGCCCTTGTGCGCCCGCAGGTGAGATCGCCCGCCAGAACCACATCACGCAACAGATCCTGGCGCAGTACCTGCAGCAGCGCCTCTTCCCGAACCTGCGGCCGGCGGTGACGCCCCGGCCCAGCTGGGCGC